ATGAAGTAGCAACAAAACGAGGAACTGTAGTAAAGGGCTGTGGCATTAGGAAGGTTGAGAACCACTGCCATCGAGGGAGGGGAATGATTATAAAGACAGACCACAGATTGAGATTGAATAATAGGAATGTGATATCTTAGGAAGTTTGTAGTTCTTCTAGAAATAAGGTCTGGGATATATTTTTGGAGGTGAGGGGAAACAAAAGATAAGCTCATCAAAGGAACAGATGCCATGCGACACAGAAGACTGTGTTTTGGAAAGATCATCTATGTGGTCATGGAAAGTATGACTGTGTGACAGAGAGCCGGCAAATGAAGGAGAGCTCAACGCTGCCACTGATGACGAGGGACACAAAGGTGTCTCGAGGACTACAAGGTGCTGTGTGCCTATGTGGCGCTAAGAGATTCAAATCTGTGGGTAAGGAGAAGAGGCTGGTCGGGAAACAGCAATGAGGGACACCTACTACACCTTCAAGGAGTCAAAGAGAATGCTTACAACATCTTCAGCCTGAGAAGTACAAGAGAAATGCTGAGAGAACATGACAGGCCTAGAGGGAAATTGGAGCACTGTGCCGAGCCAGGCTTGGTTAAGACAAAGTGCTCCACATGGCATAAAAACATCTTATCTAATGAGATTTCATTCACATCTTAGACATCACCACTTTCTATGTCAAATCGGGTAATATTCTATTCAGTGGGAACAAGTTATTTTAAGGAAAGCCTCATTTTTGAGCTCACAGAATAATGCTATGAAGGTTTGGTAGAAGTTCAAGATTAGACAGTGTGTTGATGTCGGACCATGAGTTCCAGGAAGCCCAGTAACTGGACTTAACTGGGGAGGAACAGAATGGAAACCAGCAGGAAAAGTGCAAAGCCTTTAAGGATTCGAGTCCAGCTATAAGGGGTTGATCTATATAGATTCTGATTCAATTGATTTTTGGTTGGGCCTAGACATCGGCATTTTTAAGTGCTTGTGGGAGATTTTGGTATGCTTCTAGGCCTGAGAAGAACTACTGGAAATATGCTTACCTATAATGTTATTTAACCAGTTCTTATAAATGCTGTAAACACGGTATTGCATTTATAATGGGTGGCACTTGCACCATATTACATGTTGTATAGTAAAGATTAAGTGAATAAATCAATCAAGAAAATACATAATACTTGTTAAATCACTGTCAACCTATCACTGTCACTGTCAATGGTACTGAATTAATACACAGTTTTCACCTCATAAATGGATATTTCCATGTTCATTCTCTGAAAGGATCAAATGAAATCTCTATCAATTGAACTTTGGAGACATGTAGTGTCACTTCACACTGTGTAATATCACAATGTAATCATTGAGGGGAATGCTTGCCCCCTCCTAATTAAACTTTTTTTCACCAAAACAATTTTATTAGGACATAATCCAGACATCATGCCATTCAATAGTTTAACCTTATGAAAAAGTATTGTGCAATCGCTACCGCAATCAGTTTTAAAACCTTTTCTTCTTTCTTATGTCCTTCACATCATCAGCTCCCTGTTCCCCATGACCACTCCCTGCCCTGCTGTACCCACCCAGCAGCCTTTAATCAGATCATTAGTGTATCGATTCACCCACCACATAACGTATAAAAATACACAGCAGGAGTTGAGAAACCTACCAACAGCAACAAAATGTAACAGAGATAAACCTGTTTGAAAAAAGCCCCAGAAAATATTAAAACCAGGTAATTATTAATTTTGTTACTGATTGGAGACCAACCAGGATAAAATAACATTTGAACAGTACTTTAAAATTTAGTATCTGAGTGTTTACTTCAGATTTCTTAAGAACAGATACTTTTCTGCATCCTCTATGTTGGTAATATCGAATTTTACATAAAAGGTTTTGTTTTTTTGGGAAAGCACGTAAGTGATTTCAAAATTAAATCATAAATGTTTGCTTCCCTTATGCCCATTCTCCTGCTGCTTGCCATGAAAATATCAATGATCTGTGTTGAAGTATTTGATTAAACATCAGTTAGAGTTAAAACAACTCACTGCCAATGAGTTGATGCCAACTTACAGCAGCTCTCAGGACCAGGTAGACGTGCCCCTGGGGATTTCTGAGTCCCTGTGCCAGAAAAGAGAGCCGGCCTCCTCTCTCTCCTGTGGAGCCTCCTGGGGTTTCAAGCGGTAAACCTTGAGGTTAGCAGCCCAATGCATAACCAATACACTACCAGGGCCCCTTTCAGTTGGAATATGCGCATTAAACGGATATTATGATTGAGAAAGTAGTAATTATCTTCCGATCAAGGTAAATCTGATTCTTCCATTTCCCATCAATTGAGGACTCTCTTATGAATGAGTAAACAATGAAATATAAAGCTGTGCTATAATTAAAGTCTGCGTCTGTATCTTCTGCACAGTTTACTGAGAATCGCTTCCATTCCGCTTTACTGCTTCATTGGTTTCCCTGAGCCTAGGCTGCATATGCCAGAGACGTGGATACCATGAATTCTTAGCTCATCATTGGCCTGTCTTATAAGTTTTCTTTAATTAACATTTAAGCAAAAAATGTAAACGATTTTAGATTTAGCACATGACAAAAATATTACCTTGTACAAATACAGAGATTTGGGTGTGTTTTTATTCAGAAGATGTACTGAAAATGCTTTAGAGGATTGTGCATTGATTTCATTGAGCCTGTAACAGCTAATCCCACCTTTTGGATTGATATAAGTAGCCAAATCACTCCCAAATCTACAGGAAATGAAAGGCTAGACCACTAATCACTGCAAATGTACTCGCCTATCTCATTCAACATTGATAGAAGATTATAATGGAAAACTGTACGAAAGGGCACCACTACAATTGTACTCAGTGGGGCGTGTACTGTATTTGAAAGTACATCAACTCTATGGGTACTTTAGAAGTTATAGCTGTTAGGTGAAAAGTAAACATGAAACTAGACCATCCTAGTCATACAATCAAAAACGTTCACTATGTGCCCTCACTGTACAAAAAAATATTTTTTTAAGTGTGCAGTTTTTCCCCCTGCTTCTAGTTAAGCAGGGCCAAATGGTCCTTGCCACTAAAATAAAATAGTACTACTGGTTAGCATTTTATCAGTTTAATTGTTTTCTAATCATTGTATTAGGAACTATTCCAATATTCAATCATTTCAAGCAGTGTTGTACAATACCTGCCACAGTTGCAAAACATTTTCTTCCTTCTTGAAATCCTTCACATCGGCTCCCCTTAACCACTCCCCTGCCTCTCCTACCTTCCCCCCACCCAGGACCCCTGTTGTTTTATCTATAGACTCACCTGTCCTGGATTTCATACACCAAAACACAGAAAAACACCTAACAGGGAATCAATAAGTCTAACAACAATGATAAAATACAACGGAGATAACCCCCAATATGAAAACAAGAACCACAGAAAATATTAAAAACCAGATCAAGCCCAAACTTTATCAGAGGGGAGATTCAGTGACAAATTGTGTCAATTTGGGTAAACTAGAGAAACAAATCCAGGGAGATTCATGTGTGTATAAGAAAGAGCTTAAAATAAAGAGTAATTATATATTAAGAAAACATTCCAGTCCAATCCAGATCAAGTCCTTAAATCCAATATTAGCCCATATGTCCAAAACCAATCTCTAAAGTCCTCTTCAGACTCATAAAACACATGCAATGACAGCAAATGCAGGAATATCACAGGCCAGTGGGTGGGAAGGCTTGTGGATCCAGTGGCATTGTAAGCATCTCAGCACTGGCAGGGGTCTCCACATGGCTCTTTCAGCTCCAGGGCTCTATCACCATGCCATGTTGTCTTCTCAACAGGAATGTCTTGCAGGGAGTATCTTAGTATCCCACATCAAGGGAGCTATTTATCTCCTTAGTGCCTCAAAATGAGGTCATCAAGCTGTGACCTGATTGACAGGCTAAACTCTACCCTTTCGCTCATATGTCTCAAACTGACAACAGATTATGTAACATACATAGACTCCTGCACACTATAATCTCACAATTTAAGCTCTCATACTATTCCCTCTTTTGGATTTGTAATAGTAAATTATATAATTTACAATCCTTGGATCATGGATGTTTGTGTGCTTCTTCCAGGTGGGCTTATTGGACATCTTATTCACTTGGTTGCCTTTAAGACCCCAGATGCTGTTCTTTTTTTCTCTCACACATATATCATCTTTATTTAGGTTATGTACACAACCAACCTGCAATTTCTTTAAAAAGTATACCATTATTAAATCCAGTACTCGGTACAGAAATAGCAAGACAAGTATAAACACGCCTCTGTTTACTCTTAAACCTCTTGCGTGGTCCACTCTCCCAACTCAGCGTTCCAGCAGTGTCGTCAGAGCGTTTTGCTTCTGCGCAATGCACGACACAGAAACCGGCGATGGCGGACTGCAAGAACAACACACACTACCCATTGGAGGTGAGAGGGATCAAAGGACTAACAGCGGTCACTGCCTTGAAAGTTCTGTAGAATCCAAAGTGTGCATGCTGACAATGTTTGAAAGGGGCTCTCAATTCTGTCATCTTAGAAACAAATCCCCATTTAAACTTCAGTTTCCTTGAGCGAAACCCACTGACTGGGATCATTTATGTTCATTTAATAACCAAGATACTGTAAAATAGTCACATATCATACATACTGGTCTAAGCAGACAAAAATTATCAAGATTATAACCCACCCCAAAATCAGCAAATCAAAGTCTTTGTTTGCATGGCCTATTTTCATTTACAATCTTTGCAACTTGACCAAAACGCCCTGTGGCGGGCTTGAAGCTTTTGTTGCACAGGGAATAATCGCGGCAGCACACGCTCCCTTCAACAGCCACTCCCACAACACCTAATGAAAACGGATGTGACAAATGACAACACCACAAGCGGAGTCACTAAGTTCCACCATTCAACAGAGTTCATGACACTGTCTGCAGGGTTCAATTGAGGAGGGAGGGTAAATTAAAAAGAGGGCCACTTTCCCCCCTACCCAGGTTTATAACGTTGGCGGCTTTAATCCGTATTTCTTTGCAACTTCCGTGTGAGCATGGGCAGCATCACAAAGTGAATATAAGATGAGCCATCTCCATTTCCGACTTGGCCAGGTTGATAGCTTTGTTGAACATGTCGATGGCTTTCTCCATGTTTCCTCTTTCTACTTCGATAGTTCCCATGGGCTCATAGGCAAAATCACATTTGTTGTCAATTTCAATAGACTTGCTGATAAGCTCCAACCCTTTATCCAGATCCTGCTTCCACTGAAGTTGAAGTAAACCTTTATGAACGTATGTTGTGGCATTGTCTGGTTCCAGGTCAATACACTTATCATACATTTCATCAGCTTTACCAAACTGTTGTTGATCTGTTAATGCCTGGGCATATAGTGCATAGCCTTTGGCACACCTTGGGAATTTCTTTATGACTTCTTCAAATCCTTTCATAGCTGCTTGGATTTGTGATGCATTATTTCCTGTGTACGCTTGGTGATACAATGCAAAGCATTTCTGAGCTTGTGCCAGAGCAGACTCAGGTCTTAATCTAATGCATTCATCAAAATCTGCAACTGCTTCTTCAACTTGATCAAGAAGTATTTTCAGCTGCCCTCGGTAAACATCAGCACTCTGAGGGTCGATGTCGATGTCGGCGGCCCTGTTGAAATCCTGAGCAGAGAGCGCAGGCTCCTGCTGCTGCATGTACATGCTGCCTCTCTTGACGAGCGCGTTTGCCCGGAGCTTTACATGCGCTTCCATCAAACTGATGACTTCATCTACATCCGGCTTGGCGGCATTGGCGTTGCCAATCAGCAGGTAGAAGGTGGCTCGGAGTAACAATGCTTCTGCCATGTATTTTCCTTGAGTATCTATTTCTTTTGAGCATTCACTTATGATTTTAACATAATTTTCTTCTTCCATATACTGTTTGGCCTTTAAATATCCAGAGTTCTCTTTCACTTCTAAAGCCTCCCCTTCTTTGTCTGTATCTTCATCCGACTTCTCCCCTTTAAGCATCGGCTGAGAAATGCTATCATCCGTGAAAGAACTGAAGTATGATTTGATGAACTGTAGAGATGGCATCAAAGGTTCACGATTCTTGTATTTCTCTTTGGCTTTCTCTTTACCAAGAAGTTTCAGAACTTTGTCAGCCAGCAGCATGCTTTGTTGGTATTGGAACCCTTCTAATATACAGACTGCAGTCACATCTTCTAAACATTCCTTCTTATTGTCTAGCTTCTCATGGGCTTTTGCACGTCTGAAGAGAGCTTTCACATATTTGGGATTAAGTCCAACAGCTTTTGTGCAATCTTCTGCCACCTCTTTCCATTGTTGCAGCTGTTCAAAGGCAGCAGCTCTGTTCTGATAAAATGTGGCAAGGTCAACGCTGCTCTCTATAGGGCACAAACTGATAGCCTCAGTAAAGCACTGCATAGCTTGTTCGTATTTTCCCACTTTAAAATATTTATTGCCTCTGTTCTTGGCGGCTTGGGCTCTATCAAGAGAATTCTCTACTTTTTGGCTTCCGGAACCAAGTCCATAGCTTCAACTAGCTCCATGGCTTCAGCAACCAGGCCCTTCCCTTCAGCAACCAGGTCCATGGCTTCAAGTCCAGGTCCAAGTAGAGAAAGCCTGAAGCGTATTCTCTCACGAGTTTTCCCCAGATGCTATTCTTTCTGATAGCCAGGCACCATCTAATTTATTCACCACACTTTTCTTTATCACCCATATCCTCTGTGTTTCCCTCTCAAGGGCAAGTGTTGGACAGGGAAATGTCATAAGAACTAATTGTTATTAGATTGAAGCTAGGATTAAGTATGAACCCCAAATCTATTCCTGAATCTGTGTTTTTATCAGGCTCTGGTTCACCTTAGAGATATCCTTGCTAATTTATGGCAAAGAATCTTACTGATCATTTCCCTAGAGCATAATCTGCTTATCATGTCATTGATTAGCTCATGGTAGTAATTTAAAACACTATTGTGACAAGGAAGATTGGACAAGTGCAGCCTAAGTATATATCACAAACATGTATTATTCACTTATACACATTAAATACATTACTGGACACCATTTGCATGAAAAATGGGACTGGGTGATCAGGCAAAACTTACAATAATATTCACTGACAATGTCAGACCCAGGTTTGCCAGGATAGTACATATCTTAATACAGCAAATAGGACATGTAAGTAGTAAGTAAATGTTAGTCCATCTACTGACAACTCAATTCTCTAGGTCTAACTACTTGTCTGTTAAACAATTAATTCTTGCTACTGTTTGTTTACACTAGAATTGTTTCAAAAATAGTTTCAAAATTATTAATTATTTACACTAGTATGTTTTTATTACATATTGTTTTATAAACAGCATCATGATTACCAAGTACTCTTTCTGTTATGCAAACAAGTTTGAGCACTGAAGTGACTTACGGCTGAGATGACTGGTGGCACAGTGAATAAGTGCTTGGCTCCTAACTAAAAAGTTGGTAGTTCAAAACCACCAGGGACTCCATTGGAGAACAGAAATTGTGATCTCCTGTTCTAAAGATAACAGCCTAGGAATCTTTACGGGGCAGTCCTTTTGTCCTAGAAGGCTAATATTTGTCAGAATTGACAGCACATATGGATGAAGAATTAAAATTCCTTGGAAATAACTATAATTAATTCATTCAAGCTGCAAAAAATGAGTACATTCACATAGTTGTTGAATATATAATTTTTAAAATGTGATCATATACTTTAGAAGAATTAACGCAGCTTCATATGTCATTTGAGTATAAGTAGGTTAAATTCCAGATTTTTTTAACCTTATATGATTTTCTACAGAATTAAATTAACATGTACAGTTTATTTTCAATAATTTTCTTCATCAGACTATCTATAAATTTTTGTTACACAGACTATATACTTTTTCCCCAATCAAACAGTATTAATTTACTATTAAGTAGTAAGAGTAGCAAACACTTTCTGAGCTCATTCTTTGTGTACATGCATTGATTCATTTAAGCCTCAAGATAAGAGTAAGAGGAAGGTATTTCTTATTACTCCATTATTCAGACAAAGAGCTTAACTAATAGAGGGTAAGTAGACAAAACCTAGTTTGACAGCTAAATGTGGCATACCAGAGATTTGAACCCAGAAAGTTTGGCTACAAATGTTAGGTTCTTGATGGTGGAGCTATATTAAATCTATTTATTCAAGAGTTTTGTATTTCTATGATGGCTTTGTGACACACACACACCCTAAACTGGTGAAAACAATGAAAATAACTTACTGGCACATGTAATTTAAAGACTAGAAACAGTACTTGTCAAATGCAAGACTCAATTTATTGCTTCCATGATGTCACTAAGAACCCTGTTTCCTTCCATCTCAGTGGTCTACTTTTCCAAGTTGGATGCTAGCAACCTCTTAGGAAATACTTCCTTATTCACATTCAGCAAGAAAAAGTGTCTGAGGCTTTCTTGCAACAGTCTTGAGAATCACTATTAGTAATCTAATTTAAACTACTGACAAAGCCTGAATTAATCACTGTGGTTAAGAAATGGAATAGATTCTTGGTTTAGGCTAGATCACATGTGCTAGATCACAGCACTATGAATGCTGAAAAGAGTTACTTGTATAGGAGGATATGGCTACTCAGAGGACAACCAAAAGATGTACAGTATACAGAATATTACAGTGATATATATCATTTCCTACACACACACACACACACACACACACAAGGGTAGGCCAAAAAGTATTGGTATAAAATCATAGAAACCTTCAATACACAAATACTCAAAATATGAAAATATAGTTTTTCTATATATTCTCCATTTAGGTCAACACACTTCTGAAGGTGATGTTGCCATCTCTCTAATTTTTCCTAATGAATTATGCTCTTTGTTATTGTTGTTAGGTGATATTGAGTCAGTTCCAAACTATAGTGACCCCGTGCACATCAGAATGAAACATTACCCGATCCTGTACCATCCTCACAACTGTTCCTCTGCCTGAGTCCATTTTGCAGCCATGGTGTTAATCCATCTCCTTGAGGACCTTCCTCTTTTGCTCGGCCTCTCTACCAAACCTAGTGTCTTTCCCCAGCGACTGTCCTGTCCTGACAGTATAGCTATCTAAAGTAGGTCAGATAAAGTCATGCCATCCTGCCTCCAAGTAGCACTGTGGCTGTACTTCTTCCAAACCAGTTTGTCTGTTTAGCAGTCCATGGTCCTTCCAAAATTCTTCTTAACCACCACATTCCCAAGGAATCGACTCTTTGTTCTTCCTTATTCAATGTCCAACAATTCTTCTTCATTCTTTTTTTTAAACAGTTTTATTGGCATTTCATCCACATATCATACATTTCAACAGTTCAGTCATATCAAGAAGGATTGTACAATCATTGCTACAATCAGTTTTAGAACATTTTCTTCTTCCTTGTACTCATTGTTATTCATGTAATTATTTTTTTAATTGTGGCAAAGATATACACAACAAAACATTCCCAACTTAACAAATTCTACATGTATAACTCAGTGCTATTGATTATACTCTTTGTGTTGTACAGCCATTATTGATGTTCTTTTTTTATTGTTTTATTAGGGGCTCATACGACTCTTATCACAATCCATACATACATCAATTGTGTAAAGCACATTTGTACCTTCATTGCACTTGTCATTCTCCAAACATTTTTCCCATTCATATGTGATGAAGGAAAATACCCTAGCTTGTGTCTAGCACACCTTAGTCCTCAAAATAACATGCTTGCTATTCAATATTCTGAAGATGTCTTGTGCAGCAGATTTACCAAATGTAATAAGTCCTTTGATCTCGAGTACTGCACTGATTGTGGATTCAAACAAAACAAAATCTTTGACAATATTACATTTTGGTCCTGTTGTGAGAATTATGTCATCTTTACATTGAGGCTTAATTCATTTTGAAGGCTGGAATCCTTTATCTTTATCAGCAAGTACCTCAAGTCCTCCTTGCTTTCAGCAAGCAATGTTGTGTCATCTGCATGAACAGGTTGTTGTTGTTTTTAACATTGGCAGTTTTATTACTTGTAGATTGTCAGTAGAAACAAAAA